CTTTTGCAAGTTTGCAGTTATTTTATTATTAACTCAAACGTTCTGTTTTCTTGATTTACATTAGTTATCACTTAATGTATAACATTTTACTCAACTAAAATCCTCTATTGGCAGAAAACCTTTTAAAGCCATTAATATTTATTATATGCGGTTCACTAAAATAAAATCATCATCCGATTTTTTACGATGTGTTTTTTTTTTTTGGTTTTGCTATTATGGGAAGAGGAGCTGAATTTAGAAAAATCTTTACTTCTAGGTCTGTAAAAGATCAGAGATAAAAACATTTGCCCTCTTTATAGGTTATTATTCAATTAGGTTTGGATCTACATTTATTAACACTGGTTGTATTTCAGGCCTGGTTTATTCGTCGCATTTCTGCCGTGTCGAATTCAATTCAATTAAGGTGGCCGAACAACGCAATTTCCGCGTACGCTCTCGCTAATGCCATTCAGCGCGCGCACAAGGATTACACAAAGCAACAATGGCGTCGATACAGCGATCATTTTATCTGGTCAATGCCCTCGCTGTGTGTGCTTTTTTTCTTCATAATTGAAAAAGTGTATTTATGGCTTTACTCTTTTATTAAAAATGTATGGTAGAAAAGGTAACTACGGAAAGAACCCAGCAATTCTCAGATTTTTCTTTTCCACCGAAAGAACCCAGTTAAATGCAGCGCATGCGTAGTAAGGCAAAAAATTGCGATTGAATGTGGAATAGCTTCCTTGGAAAAACGCCCATTTCTCGAGAACCACTCGTTAGAATTTCACGAAATTTAGCACGAAAATACTTTAGAAAACAAGTAACTGGAATATTGACCAAAAATTGAAATTTGACTGAGGCAATTCTAGATATTCCAGTTAACCTTCTACAAGTGATAATTAAAGATCTCTCTGTTAAACTATTATTAAATGGTGCTAACTTGTGAGCATAGTTACAATCTTGTTGCACGCAAATGAAAAAGAAAATCTAACTACTAGATTTTCTGCAAACAAACAAAATCGATTTTAAAGGCCTGTTCACATTTATTCATGTTGCCATGGCAACGGCACATCCGTCAATTTAGCTAACAAAAATCCGAAGTTTGTGTTGTTAACTTGCGTGTTGCCAAAAAAAAAAATCTTCACTTGTCGGCTAGTGTGCGGTGAATTCACACAAGTCTGCGACAAGATCGGGGCTTGGATGATCAGCTTTCCCGTACATACGCCGATTTCTCGAGAACCACTCATTAGTGTGGGTTAGTGTGCGGCAGCCTTAAGGTATCGGTAACACACAAATGCCCAATCATTGTTGAATAAGCTGTGTTTATTGTAAAATTGATTGTAAAACTAAGGACATTACGCTCTAATTTCTAGCGATCCCAGCTGTCTTTTTGACTTATTTCCCACGATCGGAACAACTCACTGATAATAATTTGCATTCAGAAACGATTCAAGCCCTGGTTCCTGTAGAACAGCTGTGGTTCTTCGTAAGGAAAGTCGTTGTTTGTTTTCCTTAAAAGAAAAATCACGGAAACTGAAGAACTCCGACTACTAACTCAGAAGGCGAGTACACAACTCAGTAATCGCTCACAATATTAACTTGATAGAATACATTGTAAAGTGTACACTTGGGGTAGGGGATAAATTGCGACGGTTACTTCGGTTACTGAAGAGCTGTGACTGAAACGACACGAAAATCATCATGGGCAGAAGTGAACATCATTTTCCAGAACACGGTGTTCATGTGCTATGTGTCGACATAGGTTTGCAAGCAATGTTAGTGCTTTGTACTTCGCAAATAAATAAACTGTTTTCGACCTTTTAGTGCGTAACAGTATTTTGTCTAGCCAGTAGGGTGCTTCAAAATCAAATTAAGAGGTAAAAAAATGTGCAGCCATACTACACATTGATAATACCCAAAAGAATATATTTGTTATCCCATGATTCCCAAACTTTGAACAATGTTTCCTTTGATTCCTGGGTTACCAAATCCAGGTAAAGACTTAACTTGATGTAAACTCGTACCTTCTTGTACGTTCTTAACTTATATTCAGCTAGGTGAAAACATGTAGGGTTAAGAAGTTACTCGTAGAAAAAAGCTTGAGCCTAAATTATTATCATATAGTGTCCTTTGATTAGCCTTGTACCTTAACAACGGTATAGTGTAGCCAATTAAAGTCAACATCTTCGACTAAAGGCAAATCACTGGAAAATTCGATTTGATTTAAAATTTTTCACTTAAATTTAACTGTCTTGTGTTAGTACTATTTCAAAACGATGGGAATTTATAATAAACCTTTACCTATATATATATTATATCGTTATAATCCAAAACAAATTATCGGGCATATTTCATAACAGATATTGCCCCGAAAATTGCCTTATGCACCAATGAACACTTTCCACATTAAAAAACGGTTACTGCGTGGCGAATTTTCTTTGACACGTTAAAATGCTTTTTCTGGTGAAAAACACTCGAAATGAGATTTTAGTACTGTTAGGCGAAAAAAATATGTGCGTTTAATCAAATCAGTGAACCAGAAGTTAAATCGCACAATTATATTCAAAGTATATATCTCTGAACTCCTGGGTAAATATCTGTTAATGTTGCACGCCTGCGTAAATTATTAAATAAGTCTGAATTTGCATTTTAATCTCCCCGAAAAGAAGATCACGTAAATGTCTACCGCTGGGAAATTAAATTTGTAGATTTCACTTACAAAAAAAAAAATGTTTTCTCTGTTAGAGACATACCGAACTTTTTTGATTTCTGCATAAAATTTCTTCATTGGCCTCAATTTTTGGTTAATTTTCAATTCGCGCTGCCGTGCAAATTACTGGGGGCACGTTCGTTAGCCTTG